TGACAAGCAGTATCAAAATCTGACCTGACAAGCAGTATCAAAATCTGACCTGACAAGCAGTATCAAAATCTGACCTGACAAGCAGTATCAAAATCTGACCTGACAAGCAGTATCAAAATCTGACCTGACAAGCAGTATCAAAATCTGACTTGACAAGCAGTATCTAAATCTCACCTGACAAGCAGTATCAAAATCTGTCGGAAGAGGAGCACTCAGAGAACATTCCATAACCTTCCTTCCTTGAACATTCCAGGAGCCAACGCATTTTTTACTCCTGCCAGGAAACTCTCTGCTGGGAGCAGTTACGCAAATTTCTGCGTCTAGGGTACTGTCAAAACGCGCACCCCACCCAGCAACTAATCCACATCCACCCTAGGATGGTGTTGCCCTGCTGCCATGAGCCCAGTAAAAAACATCCAAACCACAAATGAATCACATTCTAGCCCTTCTTATGCAACTTTTTAGCCCCAAATCCTGCCTTTCTTTATTATGTTAATCCTCATTTATCCTGAGTAACAGGTTTGGATCAACTGTGCAAAGTTATCTTTTTTAAAGGTTCATAACTTTCTATTTAGGTCGAGAAGAAAAAACCGTCTGCATACTTTCATTTAGATTAGTTAAAACTAAGTTTGTTTATCAACAATTTAGATATTTTACCCCTACAAATAAAGAAATTTAAATATTTTATGATTATTGATTTCAATTGAAACATGTCACATTTCTGAAGCAAATTCAAAGTATGGACACAAAACATGTTATGGAACATTTCGTGATTTGAGACATTTCACAGATTTGAATCAATGATACTTTTACACGATTTGGCAAGTAACACAAAATATTTTTGTTTATGGTAGAATTTAAATTATAAAAGAATAAAAATCTAAAAAATATTTTCTGCTCTGATATTTCAAAATACATATAACGACTTATAATTCATTGAAAATTTCTAATATAAATATTTTATTGTTCTTAAAATTGAACAGAAAAATGCGCAAAATTTTATATTAAAAATGGACAAAACTTTTAATCATCGTTACTCTGTGTTTAAAAGTATAATGTGGAAACAAATTTTAGAATAATTTAGAAGATAAAAATATACTCGGTGATTCATGCTATTCTGCAAATTATGAAAAGGCCTTTTATTCTGAATTATTGAATATTCTCAGATTATAGATTGTTACATAAGTTGGTTTATGTTCTCATCTTGATTAATAGTATGTTGGACATAGTTTCTTTAATTGATATTTGCACTCAAGACAGGGAGAGTTACTAAAACGTTGATCATAATTTGTGTTCCCAAACCTGACACCCAGTCTCAGGTTTGAAACATAAGCATGGTTTGGAACTGTCTTCCCTTGAATTAAAGAGAACTTTTATCTGTTCATTGTAAAGCCAATGCAGATAAATGAGTAAAGAAATGGATGTTATAATTGTAAGATGTAAAAAAAGATATTTATAGTTTTTCTATCTGTTCATAAAACTAAAAAAAACTGGTTGGATTTAGAAAAACAAAATTGACATTTTTAGATTAGATTATAAAAAGCAAAAAATTAATTTACAGGAAGTCAGGATGTAGGGTTTAGCTAGCATCAGTAAGATTTGGAGATGATTCAACATTTTAATTGGTTTGAATGTTAATTTGTGAGGTTCATGGCAGCCGGCCTAATGTTGAGAAATACATTTTCACTATTTTGTCCTTGTTTATAATTTTTGTTCATAAAGAGAAAATGCTATTTATGTGTTCTGAGATGGAATTTAAAGAATTTGAGCCGCGGTTTAAATCCGCCAAAACCTGGTTTAAATTAAGCGCCGGATTAAATCTTGAAACATTTCATACAATTTTAAGTGGAACCAACCATATATAAACCGCGGCTTAAATTTAAACCGCCGCTCAAATTCTTTAAATTCGGCCACTGAATATCAAATAAGGACTTAGTTTGATCTTTCTAAAACTATAACCATTGTTGATTTAAAAGAATGCCCTTAAATTGAGTGTCCATTCAATATGGTCACACCTCAGTCAAGGATAGCAAATCAGTATTTAACATCAAATACCACAATCATGCTTTGTCAATCAAAATATTAATATATTAAGATTATATTATAAATTATCTATTATGTTGTTAACTCACAGTGAATATATCTCATACTTCTTTCAGTTCTACTAATTAAACTTACCAACATTTTCCCTCTAATTGCTCCCTTCTCCAGCCCTCGGGCAACCCTATCCTGAAAAATTTTAAAATGAGAAGGACTAAGTAGGGACCGCATTATCTGATGGGTTAAATCTGTGAACTGCAGTTGAAGGAGATGTAAACAGAGACTTCAGGATCAAACATCATTTATGTCTGAATGTTTTGGTAGGAGGGCTGGGATATATAAAGCTCTGTGGTTTAAAATTGTGAAGACATGCAATATAAAAAGGCAAGAAAGCGGAATGAAATAATAAAAATTGAAAAATATGTGATTATTATGTGAAATTATTTGCGCAAGTTCCACTAGTGACATGAGCGTCGTTTTCGACTTCTAAATTCAGCCCTTATTTAGGAAATGAGTGTGTACCACAGAAGCATCTGTACAAGGAGGGAAGTCGATAAAATCTGGAGTAGCTAAGCAGACAGGTCGTACACTGTCAGTAAATGATGCCACTGCTTTCTCTAGCCTAGACGTTACCATTTGAAATTTATGAAAGGGATTTAGAATTAAGGAACCAAGGTTCGATGATGTAGGAATAGTATAAACATTAACAAAACAATATTGGCAAGGAAAAAAGAGATTTTCTTGCAATTAATTACTTTAACACTGTTCTAATATGGTTGCGGATAGTAATAGCTTCACTATTTGATCCACGGGCAGCTGTAGTATATTTGAATTTCCGAGCCGGGTCAACTTTTCCGGTCCCAGTTTGTACTGTGTTGCCCGGACATTTGGTAACTAAGGCAGACAGTCAATAGGACTAGCGGGTGCAACAAGGTTGACGCGGTCAGACATTAGGTTGAATTTACTTTTAAGAAAGGGTCAGAGGTGCATGAATCAAGCATATTTTCTGGTTACAGATTACATAAAGTAGATGAAATTGTAGATTACATTTATATATATATTTACATTTTAGATGAAAGATCAAAAATAGTCAACATTGTAATTATTAGCCAGAAATATTCTTGATTAAATAGGGAAACTAAAACAACCCTCTTTATTATATTCTATCTTTAAAAATTTGTTTAACTTTAAAAAGCATAAAATGAACGTATATTGAGCTGGTTCTGAAATGGTCTCTGTCCCTGATAAGAAGTATATCTGGAGACATCTGGAACTCTTGAGATGTATCTAGATCAGGATGAATCCACATCATATCAGGTTTGTACAGAAGACCAACATCTAAGTGCAACAAATTAAAAGTTAAATCTCATAGAACTAATTAATTAAATCATTTACCTTCCTGAGGATTCAAATGTTTCATTTCTGCTGCAGTCCAAGGAAAACCCTTAATAAGAGGTGTAATCTTTTAGTTCTGCAAAACTAGTATAACACATGAACATTGTACATACTTCTATCTAGTAAGAATATCCAGAGAGCTGAGCCTGCGATTTAAAAAATTTGGGAAAATACAGCTTGGGTCTAAGCTGTTGTTGAGCCTTATTTATAATCTCAAGATTATGTTAGTCTCCAGAGCTGAAAACTTTAGAATGGTGGATATCGAGATCAATGCGTGATCTTCTTTTTTTCTTAATCTCAAGACTAACCTAATCTTTTACTTGTATCAAGAAAAGTGTATAAAATTCAACCAATCAGAGTCGGGTATATGAAGCCGGGAAATTTGAAATTTTGCTCGCCATTTAAGATTAATAGAACAGAAACGGGAGGGACTCTCTAATTTTGAAAACCTGTTTTTGATTTTTCTGTACTATATCCAAAAAAGAGAAGATTAAGCAAGAAATTAAAAGTTTCCACAGTGGATATTCGGATTGAGTAGTTGGGATTAAAGGTTATCCATTCTAAAGTTCCCAGCTGTTTATGCTAATCTATTTGGCGGATTTTCATTGTAGGAATTGGTGCATTCCGGGTTTTTATGAGAATAAGACTCAACGTTGTGCCTTATTCTACACTAAAACCTACCAAGGTCAGTTTTATTTTCTTTGGGCCTTACTCCTTAAGTCTAGCCGAAGATCTTGCAGCTGTCAATCACGTGACACAAGCTATCGTCACAGTTGGGTAGAAGATTGGGTCTTAAAGTCGGGTTAAGGTTTTAGGGCTCGGGCGAAGTTTTTAAATTGCAGGCTCTGCAAACTCTTGTTTTGAGGCTCTAAAGATCTATGGTTAATTTATACTTTTTGCTAATTTTTATTTAATTTTTACTTAATATCCATATAAGTATCTAAAATTCAATCAATCAGAGTATCATTTGAATTAATTGAACAGCAAATTATAGGCTAGACAATTTACTGCAAAATCAATTAGTGAACACTTGGTTGGAACCTAGAAATGGATATACCCACTGTAACTAGGAAACCAGGAAAGTATGGTGCACCTTCGGGAAAATGAGCCCAGAGCTGAAAACTTTAGAATGGGATATCCTTAATCCTGATCTGTTAGTTAATCTGGAGATTAAATTCATGAGGTGAACAAGCAATATTTAATCTGGAGATTAAGAAAAAGAGTGGATTAAGCATTAATCCTGATATCCAATATTCTAAAGTTCCCAGCTCTGAGCTGAAAACTTTAGAATGGTGGATATCAGGATTAATGCTTAATCCACTCTTTTTCTTAATCTCCAGATTAAATATTGCTTGTTCTCCTATCATTTTTAATCTCCAGATTAATTATCCGATCAGGATTAAGGATATCCCATTCTAAAGTTTTCAGCTCTGGTTTAATATTTTTAACACAATTATGATATAAAATATATTATACAAACTGACATTTGTGAATGTATATAACATATACAATACATATCAATTAAAAAATATTAAAAAAAACACATTCATGATGAAGATTAATTATTTAGCTAAAGGAAAAAATTAAATTTCTTACAATTTTGAATGTACGATAAAATCTTTTTTATGAATCAAACAGCATAATTTCAAGATTTGTACGTTCTCAGGTAGGAATTAATAAATGCCAGGAAGCAGTTAAAATGTGTACATTATGTTTAACCACTTTTCTATCAAACCTCATAGGCTATAGAGAAATTGTTCAACTGGCAGATCTAGTTGAACTACTTCTCTATCTTTTATTAAATCCCAACTTAAATCAAAACTCTGTTCTTCTACAGTGTGTCTCTGAAAATCACGAAATTCTTTAGAACATAAAATTTTGAGACTACATTTTAAGTACATTTTGTAGGTTTAAACAGCATTTTAAAGTAAAACAATGACCCTTAAATTTCTGGGCATTTAGTAACATTTTTTAGTACGATAGTGGGTGAAAAGTAATTATAGAATAGGGACACAGAGCATTTTTTCGAATATTAGCCATAATTAATGAAATGATCCTTACTTCTTCTTTTCCTCTCTATTCTTCAACACTTTTTCCTCTATCTACTCCTTTTCCTATCTATTCTTCAATACCTTTTCCTCTATCTACTCCTTTTCCTATCTATTCTTTAATACCTTTTCCTCTATCTACACCTTTTCCTATCTATTCTTCAATACCTTTTCCTCTATCTACACCTTTTCTTCTCTATTCTTCAATACCTTTTTCTCTATCTACTCATTTTCCTTTTCCTCCTTTTCCTTTATTTCTAAATAGTTTTTGTTTTATTTAAATTTAACATGCATGTATCGCTGCAAAAGGGCATCTCATTAAAACAACCAACAATGGTTAGAGAGGCCCATGGCTAAATAAAAATGTAAAAATTGTGCAATTGTAATTGTTTTTTATTAAAATATTTAGTAAAATATATATCTTTCTATCTATCTATCTGTCTAACCCCCATGAAATAATATAAAATTGGTCCATCTTTGCACAAAACTACAATAGTTCTTCACAATCTAAGGAACTTGTGAAATTTAGAAAAACAAAAATAAAACCTTTAATCTCAATTAAAATGGAATTTTTAATGCAAATTGTTGGTAAATCTAAATTCCCTGAAGTTTAGAATATCCCAGGGGACAAAAGTTTCAAACTGTGCCTTATTCAAAACTTGGAACTGAGTTATGATGAGATTTAAGAAACTGTTCTAGTGTTCACGGGGCAATTCTTAAATCTCAGATTACAAGACTTATCCAGCTTCCGGTATTGTCGAGGGTTAAACCTTCATTTAGGGGGTAAAACGTTGTCATCAGTGGAATTCCTTCAAATTTACTCAATAATGTTATTAACCTTGAATGTGTGATTCTAACATGTTTTTAGTCTGATTAAAATAACATTATTATTAACATTATTGTATGTATAGGCCAAACAGATTATACTTATATCGCCCTTTCAGCTTAGCCTCGACAACAAGAAGCAGGTCTTGGCAAATAAACTGAATTTTCCACTGAATTAGATTTTCAGAAAGGCTAACAATCTTACCGTTTTCTTGTTTGCTGCTGTTGCTCCAATAAAAAGTTTGGTTTTCTCTTTAGCAACCTTCATATCCTGGTAAAAAGTGTTTTTTTTATCAATGTAATTGAAAACTGGAGTTTCTTCTTACAATGTATAGTAGACAATATATGTAGACAATATATAGATTCCTGATTGTCCTCAGATGAGTTTTAGAAGTGTAACATGGAAGTTTATAACTTTAATAAACTTTTATGAACTACTTTATCTAGGGCTGGGTAGTGAGCACCTTTCTATTAACAAACAGCAAGGTTTCAAAAATTAATGAAAGATTTCTTAAGCAAATTAATAGAACCGTTAATTTTGAAATTGTTAACAAACAAAACTGACGGTCCATGATAAAAATCACAGACTGATGAAGTTTTTTATCAACTGTGTGAAACACAGAAAATTATTTATTTTTTGGTGTTTTTGAATGTCGTCTTTTATTTTTTTCTGCTATTTATACCCGAAATAATTGTGAGCAGCTGGTGCTCCTAGCGATTTCTCAGATATATTCTGTTAACGCCATTAATATAATTGAGTTTGTTCAGAAACGGTAACAGTTATGAAAAAAGCCTGAACATCCCCAGCTATAACTTTATTTACCTTAATTAAATTAGGAACACCTTGCTGAACAACTCCTATTTGCCTATAATGTGAAATACAAATTAAATTTTAAACTAAATCATATAAACGTTGATAATCCTCTCCAAATACAGTGAAACCCTTAATAAAGAATACATCGGAAGAATTTATCAAATGTCGTCTTGACAATTTTTAATAAGTTTTATACTATATTACGTAAATTTCAGTATTTGCGAAAATAAATAAATAGCCATGAATATGCGGGAACAGTTTTAAAGAGTTCCATATAATTATTTAATTAAAAAACTAAATATCTGCAACATTCCATTATCAGAAAGTGAAGAATACGACATTTGATGAATTCTTTCGATGTATTCGTTATTAAGGGTTTCACTGTATGTAGTTTTACAATTGACAATTTAATGTACAAAGAGTAAATCTATAACCTCTCCACATTAAACAGGGCAGCAGAAATTTATTAAATCTAAGCTGGGAACTCTTGTATTGTGAATGCCTAGATCAATGCTTGATCTCAATCTTTTGTTAATCTGCAGATTAATTTAATCTTTTTTCAATATGATTATATTGATTATGAGTATAGATTATAGGCGGAGTGGGATTCATGTTGTGTTCAATGCCCCGGAAAATTCCAAAACAGAGAGAGGGGGAGTGAATTTTTTAGATCCAGAAAAATAATTAAATAAGTATTTATTTAGGGTTAGGTTGGTTAAGACACTTTCTGGGCCCAGCGCTGCGGCTAGGACAGGCTAGGGGGCTGAGCGCTGCGGCCACGGGTTAGGTTAAGTTATGACACTTTCTGGGCAAAGCGCTGCGGCTAGGACAGGCTAGGGGGGCGAGCGCTGGGCCACATGTCTTACATTTAAGACCCCACCAGCTGCCAGTCTCTTAGCAGGCATCCCACAGATACTATTTTTCTGGATCTACAAAATTCAATCCCCCTCTCTCTGTTTTGGAATTTTCCGGGGCATTGAACACAGCATGAATCCCACTCTGCCTAGATTATACAGCTCTAAAGTTCCCAGTAACAGTAAATGAGTCATTCTTGGACTTTTAAGCAGCTAGATTAAGTTCTACAGTAAACATACAGACTACATCAAGCGAAATGGTAAAGTACACAAAATTAATTAGTCTCTTTTACAGGAAGATTCTATAGGTTGTAATATCTGAATGATTTGTTTGAAATTAAATTGATTTTTTTACGGTCTAAGTCGTATGTTGCAATTTTCTCAACTTGTATGGACAATTTTCTCCTTATAGACGCAACAGAAAGAAGTAAGATTAGGAGCGATCAAACGCGCTTTTTATCGCATTGAGCCTATACCCCCTTTCATTTTTCGCGAACACTCCCTTTAATATGGAATATTTTGTATGTTTAGTGTCGGAGATTGACCTTTTTTCAGTATTGAGTATAGCGAGATTTTGGTCAAATTAATTTTTAAAATCTCACGAAACATATTTCTCCGATGTCAATAAAATAATTTTTTAAATTTCAATGAATATTATTAAATTTTCATCTTCTATATAATAAAACATGACAGTCATATAATATATAATGCCTATATAGCCGCCCAAACGGCTGGACCGATTGGGCTGAAATTTTGAATTTATTTTCAAAATTTTTTTTCTTCAAATTTTAAAATTTAAAAAAAAATTCTTCCAGGGGCAACGCCGGGCCGTTCAGCTAGTAATCTGTCAATCATTATTTGGATATAATATCTGATTTATGGTGTATATCTAATGAAAACAAGGCTAATCAAAAAGTAAATTAAGCTGGAATTTTTAAGCTGGTGTTTGTTTGTTAAATAAACTGGAAAAGGACAACGAAAAGTAAAGAAAACATATATGATATTTCACAATAATGGGAGAATCTGAAAAGGTATATTTAAACAACTAAAAAGTTCTTAAAGTTTCAAAAGTAATATAGCAATATAATCAGCAATCAGAATTCAGTAGTCTGTGCACAGGGCAGTGAACTTCTCAATTTACCAAGAGGAGTTTTAAGTGATTTTACAAATTATGAGAACAGTGTCCGAATTTAATGAATTTAAGCCGCCTTTCAAATCCGCCCAAAAGCCGGTTTCAATTGAGCGCCGGCTTAAATCTTGAAAAATTTAATACAATTTTAAGTGAAACCAACCATATTTGAGCCCCGCAGCTTGAATTTAAGCGGCGGCTCAAATTCTTTAAATTCGGCCTCAGGAACTTCAAGACACTTTTACCTCACAAGTTTTTTGTAGGAACTAATAAAACCATTGGTATTAAAATTACTGATAATTTAATCTTATCAAATATTTTAAGACTTCAAACATTATTCTTATAATATAGTCATCTTTGAGCATTGAGTGGTTAAAAATGGAAAACAAATCTAATATTTTTGCTCTCCTGAAGACAAAAAGCTTTGGATACTAATGTTAGAAACAACAAGCTTAACCTGAGCAGGATCTAGGTTTAAACAAAGTGCAGGGAACTAATGTTTTTTTTAAGCCTAATGGAAAATATCTGATGATTTAGGAAAATTCAAAAACTATATTTAGGGCAAATATTTCATATTTTAGCGGTTTTTCTCATTTTCTTAAAATATTTATCTACAAGCTGAAGGGAAAATGTTTTTTTTTTAAAAATTTGAAAAAACTTTCAAAAACTGAGTTTCCAAAAAAAATTTTTAGCCCAATCAGTCAGCCGTTTGGCTGGCTATCCGAATGTCTTGTTTTATTATATAGATACAATTTTGTTAGACAATTGAAAAAATTATACCTATGATATTTAGGTAGGGCGGGGCCGCCTGAACAATTTAGGTGAATCTACTTAATCAAAAAACAATTTTTTTTGTGAAATTGCAGATTTTTAAGTGAAAACAGAAGTCTCATTTCATTGGCATTAAAGTTACTATATTGAAAAGTCAAATTTAGATATTAAAAGTTTTAAGGTTGCAGAACAATAGTTCTAAACATTTTTAACGAATTTTGACCAGTTTCTGGTCAATTTAATCGTTTCCGCTTTAATCTTGTAAATTTAAAATGTATATTAGTTTTTCTGATGAGATTATTAGAAAACAATCTTACATGGAAATTAAGTCTTTAGAATTATAAAACATTTTGTTTTCCCTAGAAAATTCGCAATTTCACAAAAAATTGTTTTTTGATTAAGCAGAGGCCGAATTAAAAGAATTTAAGTCGCGGCTTAAATCCGCCAAACCCCGGTTTAAATTGAGCGTCGGCTTAAATCTTGAAACCAACCATAATTAAGCCGCGGCTCAAATTCTTTAACTTCGGCCTCAGATTCGCCTAAATTGTTTAGATGGTCTTGTCGTACTTAAATATCATAGGTTTAATTTTTTTACATTGTTTAGCAAAATGTGAAATTTCATATGAATATTTTCAGAAAATGAGAAAATCCGTGAAAATATGCAATATTTGCCTTTGACATACTTTTAGGATTTTCTTAAATACTATTCCTAAATCATCAGATATTTTTCGTTAAGATTCAAAAGACACCAGTTCCGTATAATATTTTCAAGCTAAATTCTTAGAAAACCCAAGGATACCTTGGGTGTAACATAGGCTAATTTTTTTTCAAAATTGGAATTTTTTTCCACGGGCAACGCTGGGCACATAAATCAACCTGAGGATTAATTTATCAACAGAACTGTCATTTTCAAGCAGGTCAACGTTTTTAATAAATAATCTTGTAAATATTCTATCTTACCTTGAGTTAAGTAAAGACCCACCACAATCTCCATTATTATTGAAATCTAAAAACACCATCCAGGGCAGAGGTAGTTTTACTGCGTTTCCTCCCACAACCCTAGTTCCCGCTTTCTAGATGTTGATAAAATATTGATTTTGGAGTTTTTCTAAAAATATTTTAAATCTCAGTAGTCATCAATCAACTAATAGCTAGAAGTTTCTTCATATTGACTTGGGTTAGAAAATTGGGTAAAAGAATTAGTTTTGAAGATAACCAATATAATATAAATAGAATAATAAAGATTGAGCGAAATAATGGTTCACATTTTTTCCTTTCATTCTTTTATTCTATTGCTTAAAGTAGAAATAACTGACCAGTGAGAGTAAAGAGGCAAGGCCTGTTAAATATATGGAGACAGCCAAATAGTAATTTTTGCGATATATCATAGCCAAGAGATTTTTTGCAGCATTTTTGCGATATCTCATTAGCCAAGAGATTTTTAGCAGGATTTTTGCGATATCTCATTAGACGAGAGATTTATTACATCTTCTGACTGGCCGGAACTGCAGAGATACTTGAAGGAATAGAATTAATCCTTCAGACTACAGAATATACGGAACCTGTACATTGTGGGATTTTTTCCATTATAAAGGTTACTAACATAGTCTAAAGAAATCATCCTAAAGAGAGAGGGACTACCTGGCCACCAATGAGACTACACTATAACTTTTTACTTACTTAGAAATAAAGACTTTTGAGTGAATTCAGTAATTTAATTGATTTACATGTTACCTTTTTTTAATGATAATTTCAAAAAACATTAATGTTAACTAAATCTAGTTAAACAAAGATATCTCTTGAAGCAATTATTATAACAGATAAATAATATTGACTTCAGAATTTGTTTTCTTGATTTCTTCCTTTTGCAGAAAAAAATAGCATTATTTACATATTATTATTAAAATTATATTGAATAGAAGACGCTTGGTACTGGTTTAATTCAACAGAGCTGAAAACTTTAGATTGGTGGATATTGAGATAAGTGTTTGAACCTCTCTTTTTCTTAATATCGAGACTAACCTAATTTTGTACTAATACCCTGAAAAGTGTATAAAATTCAACCAATCAGAGTCGCGTATATGAAGCCGATAAATTTGAAATTTTGCGCGCCATTTAAGATTATATACAGAAACGGTTTTTGATGTTTCTCTACTATTTCCAAGAAAGAACGATGTAAGAAGAAAATCAAAACTGTGTAGATTGGATACTCAGATTAAGTAATTGGGATTAAGGATATCTCATTCTAAGTTTTCAGCTCAGGTGATACTTTTTATTTTGCTACTGCACATGGTTTAAAATGCATTATTTTCTCTTTTATAAACACTTACCTTCCTAGTCTTAATCTTCAGTTTCTCCAATCTGATATCTTTCTCTGCACATTTTATAGCAGCATCAAATGCCTTGCATTCAGTTTGCAGATTTTCCATAGTGACGTCACCAGGAGTGTACAGTCCACACTCATCTACAGTTCAGTACAGTACAAGGGTTGAAAAGTTTATTAAACTAGGCTTACAGAGCCATAGAGAATAGAATATATATTAGAGGAGAATTTAAAGAATCTCTCGGTATGAATTTTTTGAGTCCGGCCTTTCAGGCTGAAAGGGAGTTCAAAGTGTACAAATCATGTAAATGTTCACAAATTATATGCAGTAAAGTACATTAATACAGTATGTTCCCTAGACTATTCATTTCAATTTCGAATTTTTTAAACTGTTAAATAAACTTAATAATGAATTAGGTGAATAAAAAACATAATTTGATTTATATTTATAACGGAAAATCATCGTTTGTAAAGTGAAAGGCATAGAGTCTTTGTGAAATGATCATTGGTCAATTATGAAACCAGCCTATTTCATAATTTGGTTTTCTTTTAATATTAATATGAGATTTCAGGTTTATATAGGTTATATAGCATAAATATGTGAAGTACACCTGCAGTATGGAAACAGTACAACAAAATGGCCGTTTTACACTTTTTTCTATAGTAAATTCCACTCTAATATATATTCTATTCTCTACGGTTGAAAAGTTTATCAAACTAGGCTGTTAGAGCACTTCAGAAATTAAAGAAGTTTTTTTCTGGTTTTATTACTTACTTAGATAAAACAAAATTTTCTATATCTTAACTAAATTCTTCAAAATGCTTGTTAGTTTGAACGTACAGAAAAAGCAGACCACAGTTTGGAATTGCAAGAACATTACATTTTGTTATGATTTTGACATTTAAGTTAACAATTTTGACAAGAAACACCTTTCCGATTAGAACAACTTGGAGCATTTTCGGAAGGGTGACTTTTAGCATTAAAGAGTTCAAGAATAAGACACATTTTTTCCACTCCAAAAATAAACTTAAAAGTAATGAAATTTAAGTTTACTAGCCTTAGAGGGCGCTTCGCGCCCATCTTCTAAACTAATTGTGTACATGTTCTCTTTGTGTACATCGTAAAACAAAACCAAAATAATTCGCGGATTTTCACAAAAAATTTCGTGGATTTTCAAAACTTTCAAAAATTTAATGACGATTGAATTTTGATGGAGACAAATATTTGAAATTTTGATCATTCATAAACCTTCCCTGTGGTCAGGTGATGTCCCACAAAAAATTTGGGCCCGATCGGTTCAGCCGTTTTGACAAGAAACACCTTTCCGATTAGAACAACTTGGAGCATTTTCGGAAGGGTGACTTTTATTATTAAAGAGTTCAAGAATAAGACACATTTTTTCCACTCCAAAAATATATTTAAAAGTAATGAAATTTAAGTTTACTAGCCTTAGAGGGCGCTTCGCGCCCATCTTCTAAACTAATTGTGTACATGTTCTCTTTGTGTACATCGTAAAACAAAACCAAAATAATTCGCGGATTTTCACAAAAAATTTCGTGGATTTTCAAAACTTTCAAAAATTTAATGACGATTGAATTTTGATGGAGACAAATATTTGAAATTTTGATCATTCATAAACCTTCCCTGTGGTCAGGTGATGTCCCACAAAAAATTTGGGCCCGATCGGTTCAGCCGTTTTGACAAGAAACACCTTTCCGATTAGAACAACTTGGAGCATTTTCGGAAGGGTGACTTTTAGCATTAAAGAGTTCAAGAATAAGACACATTTTTTCCACTCCAAAAATAAACTTAAAAGTAATGAAATTTAAGTTTATGGTGTTTCTCAGATTAGCATAGATATCAAAGATAAGAATACAAGAAACATTTTTAAATCTACCTTTGCAATTGAAATCATCTAAAGCTTGAACATAAGTGAGACAAAGAATGAAAAAAAAAAATTTCATTCTTCCACGAAGTTGCACTAAGACTGTTTAATTTAATTCTTTAATTGCAGAGTGTAATAATATACTGTAATGTTTATAAAGTAAACCTCCTCATATATCATAAACATTTTAAACTTGGATTTAAGTTTTGGAAAAGAATAGGGAAGATGAGTAAACTTATTCATCTAAATAATATAGTTTTGATGTGATCAGTAAATTGTTTTTTTTTTGTTTTTTTTTGTAATTAATAATTTAAGAAATCATTCTCATTGATTGTTTATGGAGAAAAACTCCTTAACAAATAGTGTTTTCTCCCGATATGTGGCGGGGTAGACACATGGGCACCGTTCTTTTTTTTACCAAACGATTAACGATCTTGATGGTCAACAAACGATTTAAATATCGGCTATTTTTGTTGGTTAACAGAATTTCCCATTATTTCCAGTTCCACTCAGGAAACATTTAAAATTACCAATTCCGTAGATATTTGAAATTTGAAACACTGTCCAGTCCTAGCCTTGTATATTAATTTGTATTTAGTTAGATTAATCTTTGATGTAAATACAACCCCGCCTTTGATAAATCCTGTTTAGAGACATTTTAATCAGGTAATTGTAGACAATTTATTTTATTTGTTTTGTTAAAGTATAAGGCTAAGGGGGGGGGACAGGGATTTTCCCCCGCCTTCTTTCCTAATTACTTCAATTCTTTAAAGCAAATTTTTTTTCAACAATTTTATTATTATGAGACACTCTCTGAAAAGTATCGTTAAATGGGAAGTATGTATACAGGCAGAGGCGTATTCAGGGGGGGGGATATTGGGGCTCCCCCCTTGGACCAATGAAATCTATTGATTTCAGGTGGTTTTTAGGCCCCAACGTGTGCTGAACCCCCCTCCCCTCCTGGAAAGAAAAAATATTTAAGCCCCCCCCCCTGGCCAAATTCCTGAAAACACCCCTGCTTACACCCCTGCTTACAAGGGAAACTTAACTTTTATTAAAATGACGTTTTTTCTAAAAGTTGTGAGTTTGTTGAGGTTCAGCCTGGCCGCAGCAGATCCACCTGTAAAAGCATAAGTTGAGAACGAATGTAATTTATAAGAATATAAATGAAAAAAAAATAAAAAGTAAAATGTGTGGAAATCATTGCTTCAAAACTCCTTTTGAGTAAAATCTTGCATATAAATGTATATTGCAACTTATTATTTATCATTTAAACTGTGTACAGCATTCATAAGATATGTGCAAAGCATATAATTATGATACATATTTATGAATTACAAATATCATAATTATAAATTGTAAATCCATCCAAATATTTGGAATAAGAATAAAATCTTCCAAAACCTCGAAAGCCACTGAAATCAATGCTATCTTTCCCACAAACAATGACAAATGCCCTGATGTGACAATTTATTAAAAATTAAGGAACATCAAGACAAACTCTCCAGATTCACCTTTTCCAACTTTTTAAGTTGCAATCTCCTCATGTCCAAATCTTTAAAGAAAACTACACTGCTGGCTGAGCAATCAGATTGATTTTACAATCACAGGATACTCTTTCACACACTCGTCTCCATCCTCAGCTCCCTCTCACCTACAGTCAATTGGAAGTCTAAGGAACTCATCGCTTTCTCTCTATCCCTTATATTCAAGGAACTCATTTCTTTCTCTCTAGTCTCTATCCCTTATAACGAAGAGTGAAGACGATATTTTCATATTTCTCAAACCTGTGTGCAAATCCAGCTACAGCTGTAAAAACCAAGTTTAAACATTATGATAAGTTAACTATACATTCAAATATAATTCGGAATTAATGTATACCATGTAATATTTAAAAGATCAGTTATAAAATATAACTAGCTGAAGGGCCTGGCGTTGCCCGTGGATAAAAATTAGTAAAACATTTTTTAAAAATATTTTTAAAAAAATGAAAAAAAATTTCGAATTTTTAAGCCTATAAAATTCCCATGAGTGCCCATTCGGTCCAGCCGTTTGGCCTCTTTTTTACTCTACAGAGGTTTGGTCCATCACCATCACTGAATTTTAAATTCCATTAACAGAAAGTGAAGAATACGACATTTGATGAATTCTTTCGATGTATTCGTTATTAAGGATTTCACTGTAGATGGACTGATTTGCGGTTAGCAAATTTACATTAACTCTCTCCACTCCAGGAGATTTTTAATAACACTCCCCATAAATTGAGGTTTATGTGAAATTATGTTGAAATTAAGTTCATAAAAAGAATGATTTTCAAATCCCTGTATTTTTTCAATCTGATTTGTCTTAATACGAATTAGTATATATTCTGTTTAAACAGTCTAATCTTGCATTCTGTATTAAAATCAAACTTTAAGAGATTATTGCGGAGCCCCCTGCAAGACTATAAACCCTAAATTTGTAAAGAGAACCAGCAAAAAAATGCTCAACTCTAGTTCTAGAACTAAAATTGACAATTTTATGGATTTTTAAAGTTTCCAACTTGTCCGAATAAATGTTATAATGTTAAAAAACTTAATTTTGAAAATCTGATTTTATTATTCTGATTGCATCGTTTGTGTTTATTCATACAATTATAGTTATACAATACAATGAAATTTTTTTCTTGCTAAATTTGATATATTTCAATATCATTTTGAATTTGTCAAAAAGGTTATGAGATGATTTCGTTGATTTTTTGGGACACATGATACATCTCTGCGCCATTCTTCATTTTATTTGGGACACATTTCTCCACCCTCCATGTTATCAGTAACAAGCTTCTTCAACCAATCATGCAGTCTCGTCACTCTAAAATACAATAATTATATTACACCTAGAGATGTGCATCGTTAAAATACAATAATCATATTACACCTAGGGATGTGCATAGTTAAAATACAATAATTATATTACAGCTAGAGATGTGCATCGTTAAAATACAATAATCATATTACACCTAGGGATGTGCAGCGCTAAAATACAATAATTATATTACACCTAGGGATGTGCATAGTTAAAATACAATATTTATATTACAGCTAAGGATGTGCATCGTTAAAATACAATAATCATATTACACCCAGGGGTGTCCTTGGGTGTATTATGATTATTATTATTAGTATTAGTATACCTGGAGTATTGAACCCTGTACATTCAACCCCCCTTGGAGACTACACCAAGTTGGGTTTAGTTTAGTTTTGAACCAAGTACATCCAACCCGCCCTGGAGACAACATCAAGTAGGGTGTAGTATACCTGGAGTATTGAACCGAGAACACCTAACCCCCCCTGGAGACTACACCAAGTAGGGTTTAGTATACCTGGAGTATTGAACCCAGTACATCCAACCCCCCTAGAGACTACACCAAATAGGGTTTGGTATACCTGGAATATTTATCCGTGTACACCCAACCCCCTGGAGACTACACCAAGTATGGTTTAGAATACCTGGAGTATAACCAAGGATTGTTGAGTACATCCAACCCATCTAGAAACTACACCAAGTAAGGTTTAGTATACCTGGAGTATATCCCAGGATTGTTGAACCCTGCACATCCAACCCCTCCAGAGAATACACCAAGTAGCGGTGGCTCGAACTTTACCATCAACCTGTAAACCAGAAAACTTGGGTATAGGAAGACGACTTTTTTTTTAAAGATCACAGCTTTACGCCATCAGGTTGCAAAGATATAAGGATTAGAAAAATTGAGTTTGTTACAAAGGCTTAATTCCTATCCATGTTATCCAATAAAGAAAAGACGACCTTTACATTCCTCCAGAGTGGTCCGCCAGAATCTCCTTGACAGGTGTCTCGTCCTAGAATAATTTAACTTTTAGGGAGTGTAAGAGTATTTTCGAGTGACACTGTGACACTCCATCATAAAATAAAAAAAAACTTAGGAACTGAACACTCATATTAAACTCTTATTTTTCACCCGATCTTTGAAACCTGATTATTTAAACCTTTGATCTTTTAAACATTGATCCACTCGAATATAAACACAGGTAAAAGCTCGAATCTACTGATATTAGACTTATTCTCATCAGTCGTAGCTCTTCTAGTTTTGATTTTACGTCCAAGTTTAAGAAAATCAAGTTTATTTGGTTTCATATTAGAAATACAACATTATTTCTGGAGAAGCATTGTAGGACTTAAATCTAACAGAATTCTTAGTTTGAAATATCAAAGGTTTAAGATATCAGGTGGCATATATTCTAGTTCTAGTTCTAGTTCTAGTTCTAGTTCTAGTTCTAGTTCTAGTTCTAGTTCTAGATCTAGTTCTAGTTTTGGTTCTAGTTCTAGTTCTAGTCCTAGTTCTAATTCTAGTTCTAGTTCTAGTTCTAGTTCTAGTTCTAGTTCTAATTCTAGTCCTAGTTCTAGGTCTAGTTCTAGTTCTAGTTCTAGTTCCAGTTCTAGTTCTAGTTCTAGTTCTAGTTCTAGTTCTAGTTCTAGTTCTAGTTCCAGTTCTAATTTTAGTTTTAGTTCTAGTTCTAGTTCTAGTTCTAGTTCTAGTTCTAGTTCTAGTGGGTTAGAAAGTTGAAGCAAGCATTTATTTCTATTTGACCGACCTCCTAAAAACCAGTTGTATGAATAATCATCAGGAAGCCCGGTTAGATCCTTCTGATTTCCTTGGAACACAAACTTATATTTAGAAGGTTTATTCATGGTAGTTAGAGCAGCATCTCCAGATATCTTCTCATATGCAGCAGCATCCTTTTTCAACTCTTCTTTAGATTTTCTGAACATGGGAATATATTTTAATATAAACACTTTAAGAAAATTGGGGAAAAATCTAAATTGGCAAGTATTGTTTCTGCAAACATTTTTCATCAAGAACTACAGATAATTGATTAATGGTTTGTGCAAAGGTAGGGTTGCATATTCCCTGGTTACTTTCCCCGAAAGTACTAATATTCTCAATTATATTAACTATTATATTCTCAATTATATTAACGATAATATACTCAATTATATTAACGATAATATTCTCAATTATATTAACGATAATATTCTCAATTATATTAACGATAATATTCTCAATTATATTAACGATAATATTCTCAATTATATTAACGATTTCATGATTTCACAGAAGCACAGTCACAAATTTGCTGTTGGAAAATTATAAGTTTTGGAAAATCTCTTTTGGGAAATCATTTTTTGGGAAAGTCTCTTTTTGGAAATTATATATTTGGAAAAGTGCCTTTTGGGAAATTATACACTTGGGAAAGTGTCTTTTCGGTAATTGTACATTTAGGAAACTGCCTCTTTGGAAATTTTACATTTGATAAAATCATACATTTAGAAGAAACTCCCTTGGGAAAGAACTGATCAACATTATCCAACCTTAATTTGATGAAAACACTCCTAGTGTCTGGTAAAATAGTTTTCTTCCCCCCACACATCTCATATTCAGAGTTAAACATACTTCCCTAGAAATACAAGAGTTATCTGCACAATAAAAATACTTCCCTCGTAAACCTTTCATATTTCAACTTTAAAATTTTCTGACTTTCGATATTTTGTACATTTTTCTAGATTTAACCTTCATACTTTGAAATGTAAAAGGTTTCAAAAATATAGGAATTAGAAAATTAGAGTTTGTGACAATTAAGTGTTCGGCTCCTTTATTAATATCCAAGGATTAGAAATTTGTGATGTTTAAAATATAATGTAATAAGTGACCTACTCCAGAACAGTCTCTCAGACACGGATCAATCCAGTGTCCGAATTTAATGAATTTAAGCCGCGTCTCAAATTCACCAAAAACCGGTTTCAATTGAGCGTCGGTTTAGATCTTGAAAAATTGAATACAATTTTAAGTGGAACCAACCATATTTGATTAGGCCGCGGCTCAAATTCTTTAAATTCCGCCTCTGGTACAACTCAATCCCTCTGGTTGGTCTACGAGGCATAACAGCTAATCAGTTCAATAACATGATTTCTGAACCATGAACTATTGATGTTAACACAGACACAATCTCTGAACTAAAGAACGTACCAAAGACTTTGCTAATTAACAAAGTCTTGTTATAGAACTATCAATGTTAACATGGACACAATCTCTGAACCATGTACTGTCAATGTCCCCACGGACACAATCTCTGAACCATAAACTATCACTGTCAACACGGACACGATCTCTGAACAATGAACTATCAATGTTAACACGGACACAATCTCTGAGCTATGAACTTTCAATGGTAACATGGACACAATCTCTGAACTATGAACCATGAATGTCAACACAGACACGATTTATCTAAACAAAGCCCAATCTGTGTCTATCTTTCAAGAAGTGATTTTGGGGCGTTTCTTGTTCGCTAAACAAAGAACAATTACTCTCACTCGGTAATCGTTCAAGAGTCTATTCCAACTGACGTGTATTAAGATATCTATGTTACAGGTTAAGTTAATGTACGTATTTACAAGATTAGCGAAGATATATATAAGAGTAGTTCCGCCAATTTCAATACAGGTTTGACGTAGTTATAGCTAGGTGTTAGGTTAATCGCAATACAAGATTTGCGTACATATTTACAAGTGCATTTGGATTTACAGACATTGTACTACGTAATATATCTAGGCATGTTCATGTTTACAAATATAGGGATTGCTACGATTTTTGCGACAATAATTCTAATAGTTGCATTTAGGTTTTTAAAATTATTGCCGAGCAATTTAAATGGGAGTTCTAAATAACTATTTTGATTACATCTCACGTTTAAAGTATTCCCTGAGACTGTTACCTCGTTTTGTTCCATTTTCAGCATATACTCACATTCATCCTGAGTCAACAGGTTCACAGTAGCAAAGTTTATTCCATCAGCTGAATCTTGGCATTTATCGGCACACTGTCCCATTTCCTCGA